TTCACTGCCTTAGTAATTACCACAGCTGTTTCATCTGAGGGAAATCCTGAAAACATGACCTGTTGGGGGTCCATGAGGACTGGAGTTGAGAAACACTGTACTAAAGAGAAGTGTCCTCTTTCTATTGTGCTTAAGTGCTTTCAAGTATCCCATACCACCCAAAACCCTGTTCTACAAGCAAACAAGCATCCGCTAGACCAGGGGTGTCATACTCAAGTTAATTGAGGGCCACATCAGCATCATGGTTGCCCTTAAAGGGCCGGTTGTATCTATAAGACTAGATGTCAAGGGTCTCCAGCCCTCCCTTACATCACAGTGCACCCTCCTTACCTTATGCTTCTGCCGGGAAGAAGGTGGGGTCAGAGCTGGGAAACAGAAAGTGCAGAGTCTGGAGATCCTGAGGAGTGCTGGAATCAGTTGCCAGAGAGAGAGGCACAGGATCTGTAGAAGGAATGCTGTCCTCCTCTCTGCTGCCAGCTGCTGAGACAAGGAGATTGGCAGAGATGAGCCTTTCTTTGGCTGGATAGGGAAGCGCACGATCCAGCGGAGGAGTTCTGTCCTCTATGTTGCTGACTGCTGAGGCAAGGTGGGGTGGAGATGAGGGTACGAGGGCCACATGAAATGGCTTGGCGGGCCGGAATCGTCCTGCGTGCCTTGTGTTTGACACATGTGCCCTAGATTGTTCAGTGAGCTGTTCAGTGTTCAGTGAATGGATTATTGCTGTGTGCCTGGCTGCCACTGCATTGTTTTGGGGAAAAAGATGTTAAACTTAGCAGCTCCTACTGGGGAAGTGCTACATTTATTTTATTTAATGTCTGATGAAGTAACTGCAGGTTTATTTTGTATGGGATGTTATACAATAGTAGTATCCACAGACACTCGTGAGCAGCATTTGCAGAAAGGTTTTCTTAAGCATATTACATAATGCAAAATAAGTAATGTACAGAAGTTATCCCTTCATTGTCTTGAATCTTCCGAGCTGTTGAATTCTGATTGGCTGTGTAAGATTCTACACTTTGCTCTTCTTCATAGGACTGAATAACCCAGGACCTCTGGAATATTATGTTACTAAGTGCACATGACATTGTATGTGCAATATTTATATATATATGAGATCCCTGAAGTTTTGTACCTATTCTTCACAGGTGCTAACATGCTTTTTGTTGCAGGATCCTGTGTCGACTACCTAACGTCCCCAAAGTTTCTCATTTACTTTGGTCACTCTCTGTCTACCTGGGTAAGAGTATTTGAAAACAGATTTTTCATTCTCACTTTTGTCTGAAGAGCTATAAATTGTCTATGTCCTATGAGCCTAACCAGGGTTAGCGATTCTGGACCTACAATGTGAAAAATGCTTCTAGTCGTCCCTCATTTGAAAGGACAGTCCTGTTTTTGAAACCAAATACCCCTGTCCCTCTCAAATGTTCCTCATTCAAGTCTAATGCACACTTTATGGACAAAAGTTTGTGGACACCTGACTATCCCACCTATATGAGCTTGTTGGACATCCTATTCCAAAACCATGGTCATTAATTGACATCTTCCACCCTTAACAGCCTTCACTCTTCTGAAAAGATTTTTGAGTGTCTGTGGGAATTTGTGCCCACTCAGCCAGAAGAACATTTTGAGGTCAGGCACTGATGTTGAATGTGAAGACCTGACTCAGCATTTCAGTTCACCCATAGGTGTTCAGTAAGGTTGAGGTTAGGGCTCTGTGAAGGCAACTTGAATTCCTTTACATCAAATTCATGACTTTATGCTTTGTACAAAGGGGCACAGCCATGCTGGAACAGAAAAGATTCTTCCAGAACTGTTACAAGGTTGGAAGTGCACAACTGTCTAAAATGTCTTTGTATGCTGTAGCATTAACACACTTGAACTCAATAATTGGAAGGCTGTCCATATACTTTTGGCCATATAGTTTTGAATGTTTGCCCACTCACAAAGAAATGATAAGTCTAAAAATCGAATGGTAGGTGTATTGTAACACTGAGAGACAGAATAGCAACAAAAAATACAAAAGAAATGCATGTCTAATAAATTATGGACTGATTTGCATGTTCATGAGGGAAATAAGTATTTGATCCCCTATCATTCAGCAGGATTTCTGGCTACCAGGTGTCTTTCATACAGGTAACAAGCTGAGATTAGAAGCAGTCTCTTAAAGTGAGTGCTGCTAATCTCATTTTGTTAGCTGTATAAAAGACACCTGTCCACAGGAGCAATCAAACAATCAGATTCCAAACTCTCCACCATGGCAAAGACCAAAGAGCTGTCCAAGGATGTCAGGGACAAGAATAAAGACCTACACAAGGCTGGACTGGGCTACCAAACCATTGCCAAGCAGCTTTGGGAGAAGGTGACAACAGTTGGTGCAATCATTCGCAATGGGAGAAACACAAAACAACTGTCAGTCTCCCTAGGTCTGTAAATGCCAATATTTATTTATTTTATATATATATATATATATATATATATATATATATATATATATATATATATATTACTGATACAGGGTCATCCAGGGACAGGATCCAGAATTGTGCCACCCTCCCCCACTGTTAATGCATGCTGTAGAATGGGTGTACCACGCTGCATCTACTATTTGCCCCCTTGCTTCTCCACGCCCCTCTTGCCCTCCTTGTCGCGGCCCTATACATATATACAGTTGTGTTCAAAATAATAGCAGTCAGACATCACTAACCGGATCAATCACTGTTTTTGGTAGAAATTATATTTCTACATGGCAAATAATTTACTAGCAGGTGTAGTAGAGTAATCCAACAGACCCAACAGTCATGACATGCATGCTGCTGATTCTGTGTAATTGAATCACTAATTGAAAGGGGCATGTTCAAAATAATAGCAGTGTGGAGTTCTATTAGTGAGGTCATTCATTCTTTGAAAAACAGGTGGCAATTATTGCCCTTATTTAAGGAAGGAAGGCAGCAAATGTTGTACATGCTGGTTACAGTGCATTTCTCTCTGAAATTCTGAGGAAAACGGGTCGTTCCAGACATTGTTCAGAAGAACAACGTACCTTGATTAAAAAGTTGATTGGAGAGGGAAAACATATAAAGAAGTGCAGAAAATGATAGACTGCTCAGCTAAAATGATCGCAAATGCTTTAAAATGGCAACCAAAACCTGAAAGACGTGGAAGAAAGTGAAAAACTACCATTCGAATGGATAGAAGAATAGCCAAAATGGCGCGGACTCAGCCAACAATCAGCTCCAGGAAGATCAAAGAAGGTCTAAAGTTCCCTGTGAGTACTGTTACAATTAGAAGACGCCTATGTGAAGCCAAGCTATCTGCAAGAAGCCCCCGCAAAGTCCCACTGTTGAAAAAAAGACGTGCTGAAGAGGTTACAATTTGCCAAAGAGCACAGTGACTGGCCTAAAGAGAAATGGCGCAACATTTTGTGGACTGATGAAAGTAAGATTGTTCTTTTTGGGTCTAGTGGCCGGAGACAGTTTGTCAGACGACCCCCAAACACTGAATTCAAGCCACAGTACACTGTGAAGACAGTGAAGCATGGTGGTGCAAGCATCATGATATGGGGATGTTTCTCATACTACGGTGTTGGGCCTATTTATCGCATACCAGGGATCATGGATCAGTTTGAATACATCAGAATACTTGAAGAGGTCATGCTGCCTTATGCTGAAGAGGAAATGTCCTTGAAATGGGTGTTCCAACAAGACAACGACCCCAAACACACCAGTAAACGTGCAACATCTTGGTTCCAGACCAACAAGATTGACGTTATGGAGTGGCCAGCCCAATCCCCGGATCTTAATCCAATAGAAAACTTGTGGGGGTGACATCAAAAATGCAGTTTTTGAGGTAAAACCAAGAAATAGAGAAGAACTGTGGAATGTAGTCCAATCATCCTGGGCTGGAATACCTGTTCACAGGTGCCAGAAGTTGGGTGACTCCATGCAACACAGATGTACAGCAGTTCTCAGAAACAGTGCGACTACAACCAAATATTCATTAAGTGATTCAAAGGAAAGCAAAATCTTAAAACATTTTTTCAGTTTATATAGTGAATGTTTGAGTTTGTAAAGAAGAATACAAACACTGCTATTTTTTTGAACAGTCTAATATTCACTTTTCTTCAATTTTTTTAGAGGAACAACACAAATTTGATATATTTTTCTTCATGTTTTGATTTGGAATAGAATGTGTAGTGTCCCCAATGCATTTGTGTGTATGGAATGAAAAGCTATTAGAAGGATTTTGAGCTTTATTCACTTTTTTCAACACACTGCTATTATTTTGAACACAACTGTATATATATATATATATATATATATATATATATATATGTGTAAATATATATATATATCAAAAGCAACACAATGCATATTGTGGGAATGGGTGGGGCTAGGACTAGAGCAGCATGAGTGCCATTAGATAGAAACATGCATGTGCTGCACCTACCCGGGGCAGCTGCCCTTTTTGCCCCCCTCTAAAATAGAGTTGGGATTAGGTGAACAGGAGGGAAGGGGAGAATCCCAAGCTTGGAGTTGGATGTTATGTGTGCACTGGACTGATAACTGAATACATGCTCAGTGAAAATATATTAAACTGTTCCTTAAAGGACAACTGAAGATTTGAAATAATTTAGCCCTCATCCCCCAGCACCACTGCCACCTCTCCTGAACTAATCCTCACTAATACCTCCCACCACAGCTTCTTAGTTACCTCTGTAGCAGAGCCATTCCCTTGTGCAGTGTTCTCTTCAGAGCCGGCAGTGCCTGAGACCTCATAGACTTTCATGTGGCCATTCAAGATGGTGCAGCTGTATCCTGGGATACCCTTTTGCAAATCTATGAGGGCTATATGCAATAATTCAGAAGTGTGGGATTGGAGGATTTTAGGTTAAAAGTATAGTTGTTCTTTAAATACACAAATCATTCGCTGTAAGTGGTATCAATCCACTACTGGATATTCTGAGGTTTTATCCATTGTTCTTTTCTATACAGGGGGATCGTATGTGGCATTTTGCTGTGTCTCTCTTCCTAATCGAGCTGTATGGAAACAGCTTACTTCTGACTGCCATCTATGGGCTCGTGGTGGCCGGCTCTGTTCTCCTGCTTGGGGCCATCATTGGAGCGTGGGTGGACAAAAACCCCAGACTGAGAGGTAGAAAAAATTAGACCAGTGTCTTCATATACCATAACAAAACTACAGAGGAAGAATGATCCCCTTTGCAGACAAGAAATTAAACCATGTTAAAGAGACCCTGTCATCTGTTAATAAAATATAAATTTGAGCTGTCCTGAAATAAATATGGTCCTGATCCTGATGGATCCTGATTCAAATTCTGCTGTAGCCTCAACTGGAATTCACGGGCTTCAATCTTGAGTGTTCCACAAACGTTCCCCATTTTGTGGTTTAAGTCTATAGCTGCTTATGAACGTTCAACGTTCACATGATCTAGTAGATTTTTCCTGGGAAGTAATAATACCCAGCTGCTTTTGCCAGTGCAGTTGTATCCAAGGAACGCAACCTGGGAACAGTTCCTAAGCACCGCTCATCACCCCTTGTGGGTGCGCTGATGAGTACCAGGTGGTTCCTTAGATTTTACACAGTGGCGCTCTTTAGGATTCACATTCACCGGCAATGAGGAAGGTCCACTGCCATCATGAAATTTTTGACCATCTTCTTAATTTGCTAGTCTCCTAGCAGTCAGGCAAATCAGGGATGTAAGGAAAAAGACAGACATCCTTGTCTACATGTTCATTCCAGGACAGTGTCTGAAACTATCAAGGCTAGAGGGTAGGCATGACTGCCAAGCAACCAGAATGACCATAAAGGGAGGTCAGTACAGGCAGCAGGACTGGATTAACAATTAAGAAAATTAAGTACATACATAGGGCACCAAAGGAAGGCATTCCAGAGTTTTAACTAGCATGCCCTTCAAAGATCAGTACACTTATAATGAAAACATGTATCCTTTTTGCCCCTTTGCCCTGAGAAAACCAAGACCTTCCCCCTCCACAGATCTATACACATGGAGACCTGACTTCCCTGGCTTCTGTTGATTATTTACAGCCTGTACCGTGAGTCCATTCTCTTCTGGATGCACAGGCCCATTTACAGCCCTGTAGACTTTTATGGGACTTGTCTGCCTTCATCTCCCTAAAAAACATTCAAACTTTCATTTGACTTTCAGCTCCTATTGAATTTAAATGTCTTGTTTGTTACGCAATGCAGGGGGGGGGGGGGGGGGCACCTTTGTTGGGCTGTGCTTAGGGTATCAGTTGCCCAGAGTGGGAACATCAACATGGTAATGACAAGTTTACTGCCTAGTATGCTATGTCTGGCTCAGAGATGATGAATATGAATGACAAGTAAGAAGACACTGGTCAATTTTTTATAAAGGATGAAGTGTGATTTTGGAAGATGTCTTACATCTAAATATTGGGGGTTATTTACTAAAACTGCAAGGTGCAAAATCTGGTGCAGCTCTTCATAGAAACCAATCAGCTTCCAGGTTTTGCCATATCCAAAACCTAAACAAATTTGGCTTTACATTCACTTAAAATGCAGTCACCTATCCTGCTTTATCTTCAGCATGGCAGTGAGAACATCAAAACCTGGGAGGGGTGGGGGGGGGAATCTCCAAGCCTTCTAAACAAAGGGCCAGTTTACTGCCCATCAGACTTAAAGTGTTACTAAACCCACAACAGTAAAATCAGTCTGTATATGTGGTAAAGCATGCTTGTTATGCTCACTGTGGGACCTAAGGGGTTAATCCTCCTCACTGTGTAAGAAAATCTGTCTGTTCCTGTCTTCTCTGATTCTCCCTTCTTCTACTGTCCCCAATCCATCTGCTGATAGAACAGAGCCTTGGGGGCAAGGTGCAGTTTGGTGTGCATCGCTAGAGAGTTTTTTTCTGTGGGAGAATGCATGTGATCAGCACAGGGCCAATCAGTGCTGTCCAGACAGAAGGCCAGAGGTTATGCAGCCTCATAGGACAATCAGGGGAGAATTGAAAACTCCTCCTGAAAAATGTAACCAGTGCTCTGCTGGACACTGATTTTACTTCAAAGCATAAATTGTTACTAAACCCACAACAGTAAAATCAGTCTGCATATGCAGTAAAGCATGATTGTTATACTCACTGTGGAACCTAAGGGGTTAATCTTCTGCATTGTGTAATAAAATCTGTCTGTTCCTGTCTTCTCTGAGCCTCCCCTTCTTCTACTGTCCCCAATCCATCTGCTGATAGAACAGAGCCTTGGGGGCAAGGTGCAGTTTGGTGTGTATTGCTAGAGAGTTTTTTTTTTTTTGTGGGAGAATGCATGTGATCAGCACAGGGCCAATCACCGCTGTCCAGACAGAGGGTCAGAGGTTATGCTGCCTCATAGGACAATCAGGGGAGAATTGAAAACTCCTCCTGAAAAATGTAACCAGTGCTCTGCTGGACACTGATAGAAGTCACAAGATTGCTCTAACTGCTGATGAGAAAAGGTATTTAGATGTAAAATAATTGCATTTCTGTGTTCTGTGTACTATGAAAGACCAGATATAGTGAATGCAGAGTCCGGGGCTTAGTAATAATTTAATTGAACAAGCTGAAGTTAGGAAGCTGATTGGCTCCCATGCACCCGATTCCGAGCGCTCCAGTTTTAGTAAATCTCCCCCATTGTTGTATATAGTTTTTAATTATTTGTTTTCCTTTCAATCTTTCACAGTAGCCCGGACTTCACTGGCTGTGCAGAACATCTCTGTAATCATCTGTGGAATTATTTTGATGGTGGTGTTCCTGTACAAAGATGAACTGTTATCCATGTATCAAGGATGGTTATTGGTCAGTCATTTTGTTTATTGATCATCATTCCTGGCCTTGGCATGCATTGTTTGGTTATGATGTCTGATTTCACCAGTTTGACACTAAAGCCTAGTACACACGATCAGAAAATCGTACGAAAAATACCGCTTTCAAAGCGATTGTATGATAATCTGAATGTTAGCACACAGCGTTCATCCGAAATTATTTGAAGGGACAAAGCAGTAAAGGTTTTACTTTGTACGATACCAGATCGTATGATTTTCGTATAATCAGAACAGTTTTCATCCGAAAATACAATATAAATACATGACATCACTTCCGAGTTTTCTTTCTGTCATACAAGAATTTTCATAACTTTAGTAACCTCTTCACTTTCGAAATGAGACTAGCATGCAAAAAAAAAAAACTAAACGAATGATCATTCATCCAATATCCTCAATTTGGCTAGCTATTTGACTGGAATAAGGAAGAAAGTAGGCACAAGACAGCTGGCCTACGGGTGAAGGCAATATAACTATCATCCTGTGTATAGGATCAACTGTGGGCAGGGGCGGACTGACCATTTGGAAACTCGGCCACTGCCCGAGGGCCCGGGGTCAGTAGGGGCCCCATGAGATGCCCTTGGTACCTTTTTCATAGGCTTTTTTGAGTTTGGGCAAGGACACAGGGGCCCCATGATCCCCTATTGCCCGGAGGCCCCATGAGTTGTCAGTCTACCCCTGACTGTGGGTGTAGGATTATAACTTTTTTTTTTTTTTTTTTAATGGTTGGACTTTTGTCTTTTTTCAGCCAGACTAACTAATTAACTATGTACAGGGACTGCGGGAGACTGATACCATCAATCTGCCAAAAGTTCCACTTTAAAGCGGAGTTCCACTTAAAAGTGGAAGCTCCGCTTGTTTGCCTCCTCCCCTCCCTCCACTTCAATATTTTGGCACCTTTTAAGGGCGAGCAGATACCTGGTTTTGACAGGTACCCACTCCCACTTCCGGCTCAGTTCGCCACGGTGAAGTGAGCCAGAAGTTTGGCCCTCTCCTTCCTCCTGCAGTCTCCTGAGAACCTTCACAGGTCCCAGAAGACTGCTGCACCAATCAGGTTGCGCGACTTGGACCTAGGAGTGGCCATCTTGAATAGTGGAATTTCTTGCAAAACACTCCTGGAAGCTGCTCAGACACTGCAGAGGTTTGGAGTCGTGGGAATATGGCAGTTTTAATATTTATCTAATGTAAGAGCAATAATACAGTATATATATATGAACATTATATATGGAATTACACTATATCCTTTCCATATATCATTTACATCTGTGGAGCATGGGTACTATGAGTACTATGGAGTACTCCTGCTAAAGCCATGATGACATCTAGGAGAAGCATCTATGAGGCTGTGATGACATCATAAAGAGTAATACTCAGGCTGGGAAGGCGGTCCCCCCTGTGGTATTAAGGCGTGGTTTTATGGCCATTTGGTAAGGATATTTATTCCTTACACCTGGAAGTATACATTGCTACTGTCACCATCACAGTTGTTACACAGTGTTCACTTCTCACTTATGTGGTCACACTTTGATTTGAAGTTGCACAGTGCATATTGTTTATAGTTCATTTTTGATCATTTGTTTATAAGGGTAACGCACTATATACGTTTTTCTTTTTTTGAGGTTCTCATTGTCCGTTGGAGCCATTTGGAGGGCTCGTTAACAAGGATTTGGGATTTTTCCTTATTGGAATCAGAATTGGGAATGACTTTAGTTTTGGACACGAGTGTATAATTTTGTTTTTGTTTTTTTGGAGACTATGATTTTCACATTTTTTATTGATTTTTATTGATTTTTGTATTCTAGTATGGTTTGAGCATATTGGGGTAGTATTGTGTTTATTAAAAGTCATCAGCTACAGTGTTTGCTGACTTTTAATAAACACAAAAACGGCTGGAACTCGGCTTTAAACTATTAGAGCATTATATTAGAATATCTCTGCAGTGAATAGCCAGTTGTTCCTTTTCTCCACCCAATACTCCAATACTTTCACTGCAGGTGGACCTTATTCTAGTATCAGCCAAAGATTGCGATGACTTTTTAGGTGGCTGGTCAGATCTTTCCCTGTCTGTAATTTTCGGTGACCATTCTAAGGGCTCGTCACACCAGACTGCATTTTCCTGTGTTTTCACTGTAAAAAGTTCTTAAAAGGAAGCCATTAAAACCAAGGCAGAAGGAAAAGTTAAGGATATCTAGATACTTTTTGTCATATTTCTTCTTTTTCTAGATTTTATGCTATATCCTCGTCATCTTAATAGCAGATGTTGCCAATCTGGCAAGTACAGCTATGTCTATCACCATTCAGAGGGACTGGGTTGTTGTGATTGCCGGAGGGGACAAAAACCAACTAGCAGGTAAAATCTTTTCATTTTCCATTGACCTAAGTTAGAAAAGAGAGCATCAGCAACATGAGACAGTCTAGGCCCCATTGTTCTACAACATGAACTTGTTTCCAGATCAGGAGAGCACAGGGATGTCCTCTGTGCAGCTGCTTTTTCTGTCCAATCAGCTCCTCTTGGGTAGGTCCCTGACCCTGTGCTTCTGATTAACTGCTGCGGAGGTCAGGGTTCTCTCCTTGCAGGATATCTGAATCTATATCACAAGCCTGGCCTAATAGAACTAGCATAGTTTTATTTTAACCTGTGTTTAGCTTTTTGCCTGGAATTGTGCTATAATGGAATTTTCAAAAACTATCACAAGTCTGGAGTTTGCATGTTCTCCCTGTGTCTGCGTGGGTTTCCTCCGGGTACTCTGGTTTTCTTCCATACTCCAAAAGACATGCTGGTAGATTAATTGGATCCTGTCTAAATTGTCCCTAGTATGTGTATGTATGAATGTGAGTTAGGGACCTTAGATTGTACACCCCTTAAGGGCAGGGACTGATGTGACTGTACAATATATATGTTAAGCGCTGCGTAAATTGTCGGTGCTATATAAGTACCTGTAATAATAAATAAATAAATAAGCAAGTGCAAAGGTGGCTTGCATGACTGGGGTCGATTCAGATCGCTATCTAGATGAAGTTTGAAGGAGATTCTTCAAATTCTCTGATTTCCTTCTACAATTCAAAAACATATAAGTAGGTTGAACAATGTCCTGCAAACTCGCCCTAATATTGGTGTGTCCTTATGATTGTGGGAGGAACATTACTCTGTCCGCATCCTATACAAGAATCTGCCCTTTAGGCACTTCCTGCTGTCATCTGGCTATATCGAGGTCTTCCAGTTCTCAGAGGGCATCCCATGATATCCTCCCAGAATGCGCCCCCAGTGGTGTGCACCCGGCGCTGTCTGTAATTGCTGTGTCCTTTGGACACAACTGATTACATGACATGGTAAAAGGCCAACCACAACAGCCTTTTAGCATGTGATCAGCTGTGTCCAATCACAGCTGACCGCAATGTAAATACACTTGCCAGTTACTGGTAGTACTTTCCTCATGCTGTCAGTGTGAGGAAAGTACTGCTGATAACTGGCAACTGTCAAAGGAGACATCTTCACTGATAATCAGGGCACTGATTATAAGTGCCCAACAGTGCTGCCCATTAGTGCCCAACAGTGCTGCTCATCAGTGCCCAACAGTGCTGCCCATCAGTGCCCAACAGTGCAGCCCATCAGTGCCCAACAGTGCTGCCTGGCAGTGCTGCTAATTTGTACTCATCTGTGCCACCAGTCAGTGCCGCCTGCCATTGCTGCCAGTCAGAGCCTATCAGTACTACCTATTAGTGCTCATCATTGCTGCCTACCAGTGCCCATCAGTGCAGCATCATCAGTGCCTCCTCATCAATGCCCACCAGTGCCACCTCATCAGTGCCCATCAGTGGCCATCAGTGCTGTCTATTTGGAAAATTTTTGCTGTTTTTTCGTTAATAGTGCAAAAAGTAAAAAACTCAGTGGTGATTAAATACCACCAAAAGAAAGCTCTATTTGTGAAAAAAAAAACAAAACAAAACATTTTAGATGGGTGCAGTGTTACATGACCATGCAATTGTCATTCAAAGTGCGACAGCGCTGAAAGCTGAAAGTTGGCCTTGGCAGGAAGGGGGTAAAAGTGCCCGGTAGGCAAGTGGTTAAACTAGGAGTAAGCCATCTTCAGGCTTTGTGGTTTTAGTTGCAGCTGAAAATATGTAGCTTTATTCACATCAGATATGAATGCTACCATGAGGAGGATTGACCAGCTGACCAACATCCTGGCTCCCATGGCTGTTGGACAGATTGTAACCTTTGGCTCTTCTGTGATTGGCTGTGCCTTCATTGCTGCGTGGAACTTTGCGTCTATGTGCGGAGAGTACCTGGTGCTATGGAAAGTCTACAAGGAGACACCAGCTTTGGCTCTTAAGTCGGAAAAGAAGAGGGAACAAGAACTACAGCAGCTGAATGTCAATGGCATTGGTAATGTCTCTTTTAGTTTGATGCCTAGAAAATACTGTTGAAAATACAGAACATCCTATAGCTTTGCTGTGTTTTGATTGGTGTGTCATTCCAAACTTGTTTTATGTCCTAATCACCCCCCCTTCTCATCACACAATGTATGGAATAGTTGGAGAATGCCCTGTTTGCCACTGCATGACAGATTGGGAAGATTACTTTCCTGGGGTCATACATTCTCTAAGGAATTGATGGGGGAGTCTATTCTTTCCTGCCCCATCTAAAGAAAAAACATAAGGGTGGAGATCCATTTTGATTGCTCAAACATGGCCTGAACCATGTTGTTTACATTCATGTTGTGGGTGTATAGTTTCCTACAGGACAAGTCAAGTTTCCATTACTATGAACCGTATTGTGATTGTGTTCATAGAAGAAATACTAAATGTTAGAAGAGAGCTTCACTTTCATTTATTGTGGTATGTCATTGTTGGGCATGCTTGCCCACAATTCCTAGCCCAGGGACCACACAAAAAAAGAAAGAGTATGTCAACATTCGAGTCACGCACAGCAATATAAGCCTGGCACAGTGTTCTAAGCTTTCTGTTTTCAATCTACAGTCAGCTATAGTTTTCTATAACCGCCAGATTGTTTAAATGTCTGTACTTTGAAGCATGGCAACAGTACAGGATCCCCAGAATTATAACTTGCTTACTATTTTAAATCTGCCCAGATTGCAGGCATTCCCAGCAATAGTGTCATCTTTGGTGACATACTTTTAGTCAGAGGTGAATTCCTAAGGAGATTGTGTTGTGGGGCTGCACCATTTCATGACAAAGGTGCAGGCCATATCGTTGTAGTAAAGGCAAAAACTTCCAACTGGCATCCATCTTTAGCATATACCCTGTTTCCTATTTTCCTCTTTTGAATATGAAATAGTTTGAATTTATATTTTGTGTTCTATGATTTTCTTCCCGACGTTTTAGATGCGACCTCAAACCACCATGAGAACCCTGTAGAAGCTGGCCTCCTTGGGGCAGAAAGAGAGTCATCAATTGAAATGACTAAAGTACCCGGCTGCTTTGAAAGATTGACAAAACCATTCCGCACATTAAAAGATGGCTGGGTGGCCTACTACAAGCAACCAGTGTTCTGGGCCGGAATGGGACTCGCTTTCCTCTACATGACTGTCCTCGGATTTGATGGCATTACCACCGGTTATGCCTACACACAAGGGCTGAGCGCTTTCGTTCTCAGCCTTCTTATGGGAGCATCTGCTGTTTTTGGCATCATAGGAACTGTGGCCTTCACCTGGTTGAGGCGGATGTGTGGCCTGGTTCGTACTGGCTTCATATCCGGAATAGCTCAGCTCTTCTGCCTTGTTCTTTGCATGGTGTCAGTCTTTATGCCTGGAAGTCCATTTGATCTTAATGTTTCTCCATTTGAAAATCTTGGAACTCATTTATTTGGAGGACAACCAGTTTCCACAGTGTCTTCAGCTGCTGTGCATCAAGTGAACTTGACAAGCACTATACAGAGTATACTGAATGACTTCAACTCAACTACCACCCAACCTCATGATGTTTCCATCCCATTGACCTCTGTCAGTCTTCTCTTTGCTGGGATCATTACATGCAGAATTGGTATGTGCAAGTAAAAATCCTTTTCTTTTCCTTTCTCTTTTCTTACTCTTCTCCTTCCGTTCCTTCCTTGTCTGCCTTCATCTTTCCCTTTCATTGTTTCTTTGATATTTTCTCTTCCTCCCTCCTTCCCTCTTTTCCTCCCTTCCTTTTTCTAAATTAAAGATATGGGTTACTGCACTCTATACATTATGTTGGGAAGGTATTTTAAGTAAATAAAAGCACAGTGGCTAGCACTGGTTTTCTCATAGGTGCACTCCCCGAAAGCGTCCTCAAAATTATATGTTAGTGCAAATAAAAAAAGTATTGGGGCAGCACAGTGGCTTAGTGGTTAGCACGTCTGCCTTGCAGTAAATGGGTCATGGGTTCGATTTCTGATCATGGCGCCTCCTGCATGGAGTTTGCATGTTCTCCCTGTGCTTGTGTGGGTTTCCTCCGGGTGCTCCGGTTTCCTCCAAAGACATGCTGGTAGGTTAATTGGATCCTGTCTAATTTGGCCCTAATATGTGTATGTATGAATCTGAGTTAGGGAACTTAGATTGTACACCCCTTGAGGGTTAGGGACTGATGTGAATGTTCAATATATATGTGTAAAGCGCTGCGTATATTGACAGCGCTATATAAGTACCTGAAATAAATAATTAAATAAATCACAGACAGTACTCAATTGTTTCTCTCATACGTGCACAAAACAGATTCATATTAACCCAGCCATGATGGCAGATGTATTTTATGACTGTGGTAGAAGCAATATGCTTTGCACTTCTTCAGAGGCAGGAATGTGTATGAATGGGTCTATTCACAGAAGATTATTTTACAATATATGCTTTTCTTTTCAGGACTTTGGTCATTTGACCTCACAGTCACACAACTACTTCAGGAAAATGTGATGGAATCTGAAAGAGGCATCATAAGTGGCATCCAGAACTCCATGAATAACCTGCTGGACCTGCTCCATTTCATTATGGTGATCCTAGGACCCAACCCAGAGGCTTTTGGCCTACTTGTTCTAATTTCAGTGTCTTTCGTAGCCATGGGTCACCTGATGTACTTTGGATTTGCTTACAATAACATAGGAAGACAACTGTTCTCTTGCTTTTCCTCTGAACCCAGACCAGTTCCAACTAATGAACAACATACGGACACCACTTCTGTTTAACATTCTCTCAGATTTTGGTCCTCTTTTGGTATTGTACTCTGATGTCAAAAGGGAATCTTTTGAAATCCTCTTCCCAAGATTTCCTGCACATTATAAACCATTCTCTGGCTGGGATTTCCTCAGTCTCAAATAGTGAAGGGTGCTCCCTGCTTCTCCATTCAGCCAGGACTCCAGGGAGAAGAGAAGCTTGGTGCTAGATGTATAACCAAAGACCTGAAGAGCAAGCAACAAGTCAATATATAAACTGCCTATAAACCTTGATACTGTTGGGCTGTCTTGGTCAGGGGCGGACTGACCATTTGAAAATTCGGGCACTGCCCAAGGGCCCGGAGTCAGTAGGGGGCCCCATGAGATGCCCCTGGTACCTTTTTCATAGGCTTTTTTGAGTTTAAGCAAGGACACAGGGGCCCCATGATCCCCTATTGCCTGGGGGCCCCATGAGTTGTCAGTCCGCCCCGAGTCTTGGTACAGAATTCCTACGTTGAAATTGACTGCTAGTTTATGATTGGTCATTAGGACAGATTTCTACAGTACATAGCTAATGTAGCCACAGCATAGAATAGTAGAACTGTTATGGGCCACACAGCCAACCACACATCATGTTTCTGCCAGTAATGCATTCCATTGTGCAATGAAAGGATGCAGATTGCCAACTTGTGTGCCAGTAACATCTAACTGGGTCCTCAAGTATTGCTTTTTTTGACATGGTTTGTGCTTGTATGATGGTGGAATAGTGCACTTACAGGTTACCCTCACTGTACCCTTTGAGTACACTGCTAGAATAGGACTGCTATTGTAGTCAGTGGTTTGAGGTGTATTGCTGCAAAATGGTCAAACTGTCCTTTTTCAGTCTTTCGAAACCCAGACTTTGTGCATTTTGACCATCGGTTTTTCATTTGTCTAATTGGATTTCAGTATTTACTTGAAAACACTAACCAGGTTGTTGTCATATTTATACTTTCCTGTAAGGGAGTTTAGCCGCATTTGGTGTATGGAAGTTTATTTAATTGGCCAGAATTTTAATTTATTTGGTGCGTTTATGAGCATTTGACGTTTAAAAATGCCGGTATACTCTTCCTGAACTCAGTTTTTGTGCTTTCAGAGAAATGCTAGTAAACTCAGCTACCTGTAAACTCCTCTAAATGACTATGTGTACATGGACACATAGGATAACATAGATGAGAGTTCAGGCGCTTCAGAAAAAACCGCCCAACTGCTCCTAAACGTCAGTTTAGCAGCTGCAGTGTACATGAGGCCTTACAATCTGGCAGTGTTGGAGGGCTCAACTCCAGTGGAAGAAGTGGTCAAACCATTGCTGAGGTTCCATACTGTGTTCCCAGTTGTCACCATTCTGGGATAGGTTTAACCACTAGACTGCTGAATGTATGATAGAGAAGCGATCCAGCTCATATCTTTTTTTTTTATAGAACACACCCCAATAGCACAGAAAAGACAAGGTTTTATCCAACGCCTGTGTATAGGGATAAAAGTGATCCTTACTATATCCTACGTCATAGTAATATATTATAATTAAATAAGAGTGTTTAAAACTAATTAATACATATATATATTAAGGTTCATTATATAAGACATGGCTATTATTGCTATCATATATCATTAAGTGAATGTATTCTGCTCCATTAGCAGTCAAAATGGCTTCTGGAGTTAAAATGGCTTCTGCTACTACCAAAGGCTTATAAAAGATATTTTATGTAAAGTTATGTAAGTTGTCAAAAACTGCAGAGTAATGATGAATGTTTGATAAAATGTCTCGATAAGATATCCCGAAGTGTAAAAGGCAAATATTCTGGAGTGTAACTGATAAGCATAAAGGTGGGCAACAAGCCATATAAAACCCTATAAAAGTATGGACTGTCACATATCTAAGGAGAGCATCTGATGGGCAGGGCATGGGTGCTCTCATACAATTGTATTATCGCTAATAAACATATAATTCGGAGCTCTCGTCTGCAAGGTTGTTTATTTCAGGTGCAAAGCCGTGTACACTACATGTACGCTATATGGCCAAAAGTTTGGGAACATCTGGCCATCACAACTATATATGCATTGGACATTCCAAAATGATGGACATAGAGGGGGGAGGGAGAATTAGATTATAACAGGGTAGACAGATCAGACAGGGGTCAGTACTTTTTGGTGGGTGGAATGGGGAAAGATGGGGGGAGGGCTATGGCAGATAAGAAGGTTCCCATGTTACAAACAACTATTGGAATTGGTACCATTTGTATGAAAATAAAAAAAATGCAAAATACGTGTTCACAATGTGTCAATTAATTAAAGTGCTTGTTCACCAATGGCAGAAGTCTGCCAAGCAAAACAGGTGAGTTGGAAGCTTTAGTACATGAACAGAACTAGGATTTAATTGGTGTTGCTGAATCTTGGCTTCATTCTTCACATGACTGGGCCATTAATATTTGGCTATGTTCTCTTTCGGAGAGACAAGGTGGTGGTGTATGTCTCTATGTGAGAAGTGATCTCAGAGTGAGTGTGAAATAGGACGTAGTTGATGGAGAGTGCGATGAGGCAGAAGCATTATGGGTGGAACAGCACATGGGGGGGCGTACTACGAAGGTAATCAATGGAGTTTAAGGCCTCCCAGTGTTAATGAGGAGGTGGAGACTCAGCTCCTTGCACGGATCAAAAGGGCTGCAAGGGCTGGGACAGTGATAATAATGGGCGATTTTAACTACCCAGAAATTGACTGGAGTAATGGTACTGCAGGAACAGTTAAAGGGCAAAAATTTTTAAACCTACTACAGGACAATTTTATGGTACAGTTCATAGAGGCCCCAACTAGGAATGATGCTCTTCTGGACCTGGTAATCTCAAACCATGCAGAGTTTATTGTGAATGTCCATGTAAAAGAACATCTGGGTAGCAGTGACCATAACATGATTTAATTTATTGTTAGCTGTATACAGCAAGCACATACGGGAAAAATAAAAACGCTCAATTTTAAGAGATAATTTTCCAAGGCTGAGGAGAGCTGGTCTCCAAGACTTAGACTGGGAGGGAATATTGGCATCAATGAACACAACACAGAAATTGGAGTTCTTCAAAAAGACTGTATGTGAACACACTGCAAAATATATTCCCATGGGCAACAAGTTTAAAAGGCTCAAACCTATGTGGCTTATGGCCCAAGGTACAAAAGCTATAGATAAGAAAAAAAGAGCTTTTATTAAATATAAAAAGGAAAGAACGCTATCATCATTTAAACATTACAAAGAATATAACAGAATATGCAAAAAGCAAATAAAGGCCGAAAAAATTGAAAACGAATGACAGATTGCAAAAGATAGCAGGACCAACTCTAAAAAATTCTTCAAATATATTAATAGTAAAAAGGTCCGGTCCGAGCATGTAGGCCCTTTACAGAATAATCTAGAGTGGGTGACTGGGGACAAAGAGAAGGCAAGTTTATTAAATACCTTCTTCAGCTCTGTGTATACAAAGGAGCATGGGGGAGCTCTTGTCCATAATGGGCATGGTATTGACACAGCTCCAGATGATCCTCACGATTGATATGATCCAGAAATATTTAGACAGTATAAAGGTGAATAAAGCACCTGGACGGCATGGCATACACCCACGGGGTCTTAAAGAATTGAGCTCTGTCATTTCAAAGCCATTGTTTCTAATGTTTAGGGACTCTTTAATGACTGGCATAGTACCACTGGATTGGCGTAAGGCCAATGTGGTGCCAATATTTAAAAAGGGATCAAAATCTTTACCAAGTAATTATAGACCTGTTAGTTTAACTTCTATAGTTGGGAAGATATTGGAGAGTTTAATAAAAGACCACATAGATGAGTTCTTGCTGGAAAAAAAATATTTTAAGCAACAGACAGCATGGATTCATGAAAGACAGAAGTTGTCAAACAAATCTGATTTCTATTTATAAGAAGGTGAGCAAAACTTTGGACAGAGGGGTGGCGGTGGACGTAGTATACTGGGACAGAGGGGTGGCGGTGGACGTGGTATACTTGGACAGAGGGGTGGTGGTGGACGTGGTATACTTGGACAGAGAGGTGGCAGTGGACGTGGTATACTTGGACAGAGGGGTGGCGGTGGACGTGGTATACTTGGACAGAGGGGTGGCAGTGGACGTGGTATACTTGGACAGAGGGGTGGCGGTGGACGTGGTGCACTTGTATTTTGCAAAAGCATTTGACACAATTCCCCACACAAGGCTAATGTGTAAGGTAAAGTCTATGGGCTTGGAAAAATCTGTATGTAAATGGATAGAAAACTGGCTAAAAAATGGTATTCAGAGAGTAGTGGTTTATGATTCATACTCTGAATAGTCTAGGGTTGTCAGTGGTGTACCCCATGGTTCAGTGTTGGGACCCTTACTTTTTAATATATTTATAAACAATATACGGTCTGAGATTATAAATCCCATTTCAGTCTTTGCAGATGACACCAAGCTGTGCCGTGGAATAACGTCCTTACAGGATGTCTCCAACTGACAAGCCGACCTCAATGCACTGTGTAATTGGGCAACTATGCGGCAAATGAGGTTTAATGTTGATAAATGTAAGGTTCTGCACTTAGGGGCTAAGAATATGCATGCATTATACATACTGGGGGGGGGGGGGTACAACTGGGGGAATCAATGGTGGAGAAGGATCTGGGAGTTCTGGTAGATCACAAGCTTAATAATGGCATGCAATGCCAAGCTGCGGCTTCTAAAGTGAGCAAAATCCTCTCTTGTATTAAAAGAAGTATAGACTCCAGAGAGAGATATCATTTCCCCCGGTACAAATCATTAGTAAGACCTCATCTGGAATATGAGGTTCAGTTTTGGGCACCAATTCACAAAAAGAACATTGGGGAACTGGAGGAAGTACAGAGAAGGGCAACCAAACTCATAAGAGGCATGGAGGAGCTCAGCTATGAGGAAAGATTAGAGGAACTGAATGTATTCTCACTTGAGAAGAGATTAAGGAGGGATATGATCTCCATGTATAATACAT